AGGGCATTATGGATTCAGGGCTTTCAAGGCAATTGTAAAGTCTTTGGTTTTTATTCTGAAAAAGCAAGGAAACTTTCCTCTTCAGATATATCAGACAGACAGGACGCCTGGGTGGCTTAGTCGGTTAACTGTCCAACTTTTGCTTAGGTCATGATCTCGCGGTTAGTGGGTTCGAGCCCCGCGTCGGGCTCTGTGCTGACTGCCAGCTCAGAGCCTGGAGCTTGTTTCAGTCTGTGACTCCCTCTCTCTCTGACCCTCCCCTGCTCACGCTGTCTCTCTCTCTCTCCTAGAAATAAATAAAAATATTAAAAAATATATATATCAGACAGCCTATTTTTATATATGTAAATGTTTTAAATTTTGTTTTAACTTGTAGAGATCTACAAGATAGATCTTGCAGTGGACACAAAGACACGTGGAACTGCAACTCTGAAATTTAACTTTTGCTAAGAGTTCAGCAGGCGTTACAGAAAGATTCTGTCCTTTCAACCCCTGGGAACTGCAATGGGGGAAGAAAAACACAACTAAAAAGTGAACTGAATCAACCTAACCTACTACTTTGCACCCTATTTAAATCATTTTTGTCCTGATGGCTCCACAAAGGGGAAAAAAAGGAAATATTAGAAGAAGGAAATGGGGGGAAAATGCATGAGAAAGAAAGAGGAGCTGCTAACAACTAATTTGCCAATTTGACTATCCAAAAATACAATAAAATGCTAAAAATGTGTGACATTCCCCAAGTGGAACCTGTCACCTCCTTCTTCTCCAGGCTCCATGTTGCCTACCACCATCAGATAGGACTCAGGCTACTCAATTTCAGTTAAGTCTATTTGAAAAAAATTTATACAAGAACATTCATCCAACTGGGATCTGAATTTAAATCTTCCCACACCAACAAAAACACCAACTCGGAGAGATATCTGCACCCCCATATTCACAGCAGCATTACTGACATTGGCCAAGACAGAGAAACAACTTAAGTGTCCACGGATGGATGAATGAATAAAATTGTGTGAAATATACATACACATATATTTATATAAGGGAACATTAGTCAGCCATTTAAATTGAGTAACAACATGGGTAGACCTGGAAAGCACGTCAGAGAAAGATGAATACTGTATATCACTTATATGTGGAATTAAAACACACACACCCCAAAGTCATCGAAAAAGAGATCAGACTTGTAGGTCATCAGAAGCGGGTCATCAGAAGCAGAGAGTAGGGTTGAGAGGGAATTCTAGAAAGGTGACCAAAAGGCACACATTTTCAATTATAAGATACTCAAGTACAAGGGATGTAATGTACATGAAGACTATGGTTGCCACTTCTATGAGATATACAGGAAAGTTAAAAAGAGTAAATCTTGAGTTCTAATCACAAGGAGAAAAAATTTTTTATCTTTTTCTTTTTACTGTATCTATAGGAGATGATGGATGTTAGCTGAACCCCTATTTCGATAGTCATTTCACAAATACACGTAAATCAAACCATTATGCTGTGTGCCTTAAACATACACAGTAAAGTATGTCAACTATTTCTCAATAAACCTGGAAAACACATCTCATCATTATCCGAGAACGATTCATTGAATGAATACTCTGTGGAGTTGCCAAAATCGGGAAGAGTTTTAAGAAGCTCAAGGGTGAGTTATGAGCCTAATGTAGGCCCAACTTTTAAGCTCCAGAAACATCTCCCTGAATGTTCCTACTCGGATCCCAGTCCTCCAATAACTCGGACACCAGCATGATTCGAAACGCTCTCAATACCTTTCCCTCCCATTTTTCCAACGCTCGAAGGAAAACGGAGACCCAAGAAACACATGGAGCTAGTCACCCCAAAGCACTACAAGGGCGCAACAGTTTTTAGGTCCCACCGCACAGGCCACAGGTGGCGCCAGCCCCCCGCCCTCCCCGCGCCCCCCACTCCCCCGCTGCTCGCCTGGGCTCCCCGCGCACACTCTGGGCGTCTCGGGCCGCAGGGCCGTCCTTCACGGTGGGTTCCGGCCTTGACCCACCGCCCCCAGGCCCAGGATAGCTCCAGCGTGGGGAACCCAGGCCGGGGGCCTCCGCCCGCCAGCCCGCGCGGCCGCCACGCCCCCTCCCCACGGGCAGCCCGCGCCGCCCGCCCCCTCGGCCGGGAGGTGGCCTCACCTCACGCGGGCCGTAGCAGGGAGGGCGCCCGCGTCTCCGCCCGCCGCCCGGGCCCACGGCCGCTCGGCTGCGGCTCGGCCCCGACGGCCGGCGGCGGCGCGCTTCTGGGGGCGGGCTCTTCTCGGCGGGGGTTTCCCCAGGGCCCGGGACGGGGGAGCAGGGGGGACTGGGGCGGGGGAGGGGAAAGGGGCTTGGGAAGGAAGGGGGAGAGGGGGAGAAAAGGGGGGAACCAAACCCGGAAAGGGAGAAAAGGGGGGAGGGGGGAAAATCAGAAGGGGAAGAAAGGCCCAGAGTCCGCCCCCCGCTGCGGCCTACGCGCTACGTCACCACGTCCGGCGTAGTCGTCAGCGCGTCCTGCGCCCCGCGCGTCCCCGCTTCTGTGTGCCCCTTTCCACCGCTGCAGACGCCCCCTACCTAGTCACCCACCCAGGCGGCCCACACGCTCTCCTCGCCAGCACACTCGCACACACACCAGCACTTTCGGCCGCTCGCTCGCTCACTCTCGCTCTCTCCGCGTTACCTGTGTCTCAAGCCAGCAATCCAGATCCCCTGAGATCCTCAGTCCACCTTAAATCCGTCAAGCGTGTAAGAGTCACCCAAGATTTAAACATAATACTAATAACTGTAAAGTAATTTAAGTTTACAGAGCACTTTCAAAATTGTCTTTCACTTAGGACAGTAAATCCTGCACCCAACATATGGAATAAATATTTATAATGTAAATGGACAAAGATCATGTAGTAGGTGAATGTCCTTTTTTTCCAGATGTAAAAATGTAAGTCTACATAAAGCAGCTTTAAGTCCTTCCTATTAGAATCACCACTCCCAAGATATAGTCCTTTTCCTTGTGAGTCATTTGAATTTGCAACCTCCCCTATTCTGTCCGTTCTAGGCAGAATCCATTTAGTTATGGATTAGATGTTTTTGGATCATTTACTGACCAATTCCCTCAAAGAAGCATTGTAGTCTTACAGTGATAGAATTCGACCATTAAATATTTACTATGTCACAAGAACTGCAGTAGGCAAAAGTAATCATAATAAATAATTACAGTGCCATGTAAGTGCTATAGAGATATGTTCAATGTGCTGTGGAGGCAAGAAGGAACAACTAGTGTAAGCTACAGAGAAGTAACATGCTGTGTGCCTTAAACATATACAGTGATGCGTGTCAGTTCTCAATAAAATTTGGGGAGGGGAGATCCCCACACCTTTAAACACCTATATTACAGATCAGGCACTATGTGCAATGCTAGGAATATAATGGTAAGCAACAGAGATTACTTGCTAAGTGACTGCACTGCAGATGGTGATTGGGGGCATGGCTTCCTTCTAGGAAAGTAAGAGTCCAGAAGGGCGAATAGTGGCAGAATTTCTTCAGCACATCTAGAGATACAGGTACTCTGCCCCACAAACAAGCCTACGAAGCAGAAATAATAAAGTTTTATTAAGCACTTGCTATGTGACAGCCACTGTAAGTGTTTTTACAAAATTATTTAAATCTCAAGACTCTGAGATAATCATTACAGATCTATAATCCTGTATGCAAAATCTATTGGGCCAGACATGTTTCAGAATTCAGAAACTTTCCAGTTTTAAAAAGGTAAAACGATACATACCATATATTACATAACACCCCCAGGAGTAGGATCCCATAATCAATTAATATTTTTGTAGTAAACATGTATAAATAGTCTCAGTACAATTTTTGAAAAGATCATAGATAACCTCCCCTGTGTTCAGGTCAGGCTTAGCCATCATATGAGTTGTCAAAAAAAAGCAGCACATTATGGGGTTTTTTGGATTTTGGTATATGGGTAACCATTTTCCCACTTCTACAGTGAAAAAACTAAAGCAAGAGAGGTCAAGTAACTTGACAGAGTCACACAGCTAAGAAAAGGAAGAGACAGAATTTTGACCAAGGTCATCTGGTTAAAAAAAAAAACAACAGGGGCGCCTGGGTGGCTTAGTCGGTTAAGCGTCCAACTTTGGCTTAGGTCATGATCTCTCAGTTTGTGGGTTCGAGCTCCGCGTCGAGCTCTGTACTGACTGCCAGCTCAGAGCCTGGAGCCTGTTTCAGAGTCTGTGTCTCCGTCTCTCTCTGACCCTCCCCTGCTCACGCTGTCTCTCTCTCTTTCCTAGAAATAAATAAAAAAAAAAAAAACACAACCCTGTCTTCCTAACTCCACCTACCATTCCTGCCACTTAAATCCCTGCTGTGGGGGCACAGGCCCTTCCCTGGAGAGCCACTGGTCAGGACCTTTGGAAGACCAGGGATTCTGAGAAATCTCAAAATTTCTTTTCCTAAACAGACAAATCTCCAAAAGGTGAGCAAATCTAGCTCTCAAGCCCCATTACCACCTTCAGACTTCCTACCAAGGACACAGCAGACCTGCCCGGAACACTTCCCCTCCTTTCCCTTAACCTTGATATTGGCTAGTTTTGATCCCAGCTGGGTAAAACCCAACGGGATAGGGGTGGGAAGGACTAACAAAGGATTCTGCATTATGAAGCTCAGAGAGGGAGAAGAGGGATATGGGGCTTTGAGAAGTACCAGGCAAAGGAAAGTATAACTCTCAATTATCTGCATGATAGTGACAGAAAGAGTCATACCAATGACCCCTCTTGTTTGAGAGTCAGTCACCCTTTAACACTCAGTGTAAAAACCTCTCACCTCTCCCTTTTCCTTCAGGTTTCCCAGCAAGGCCATTGATCTGAAGAGGAATTTCATCTCTAACCTTTGTCCCCAAGGCCTGGCAGCTTACATGGGTAATCCACTGTCTCCCAACATTGACCCAGGGACATTTCTTTCCCCAAACAAACCAACCTCCCCTCACATCCCCCACTCTGTACTTTCACTGACTATGTGTTGGAGGCTTCTGCCAAGTTCTACCTGTAACTGGCTTCATCTCCCAAGTCAGATGTTTGGCTGCTCTATCCCCTGCGACAAGGAGTCATGCCTGCTGGACACACTCTCCTTCTAGGGCCCCTGGTGGCCAGGTTGGAGTCGAGACCACGGCTGTCAGGACCCTGAGTGCCGGGTTTACAGCTCTGCCTCAACTGTATCACTCAAAGAGGGCCTCCCCCAGCAATGATATCCTCACTGCTCCTGGCCTTCCTCTTCCTGGCTCCGGCTACAGTGGCCATTCCCAGAGCTGACAGTCAGTGTCTGGCATGTGGAGGACCCGCCTTGGACTTGGATCGCCAGCGGGAGCTGCTTCTTGACCTGGCCAAGAGAAGCATCTTGGACAAGCTACATCTCAGCCAGCGCCCAACACTGAGTCGGCCTGTGTCCAGAGCTGCTCTGAGGACTGTGCTGCAGCGCCTCCATGGGCCCCCGCAGGGGATACTTCTGGAGGCTGACAGGGAACAGGAATATGAGATCATCAGCTTTGCTGACGCAGGTGGGTTCCTGTTCTATAGATCTTCCCCCAAACCACCTGACCTCTCCAGGAAAGGAAACGTCTCCTCCCCAGACTAACCCTTGTCCCCCTCCCCCAAACCATCCCACTCCTCCTTCCCATGGCCTGTAATCTCCTAATCCCAGGCTCCCACCCCTCCCCACCCCACCCCCTGCTCTCTCTTATTTAGACTTCACCAATGGGCAGAATTTACTTCTTTTGGGACTGCCTGCCTACACGTCCTCTGGCCCCCACAATGTTCCACAGGCTGTGGTGTGAGCTCATCCACTTCCTGGGCCTGGTCCCTGAGGCTGGGATCTGGGGAATCTGTCTTTCCTCTGTCCCCTGTTCCCCCCCAATCCTCCAGATGCCTCATTTGAGTAAAAGGGGGAACAGTAGAACACCAGGACTACCATATCCCTTGAGCCTACCCCAGTTCCCTCGTCTTCATACCTTGGGCCCTCACATCAGAACAGGGTCAAAATGGGACTCAGAAAGGTGGATTAAAGTAGAAGAGAAGGGAGGCTTACTTCCAGAGAGGGAGAATTTGGTGGGTAGCTAGAGAGAAAGCCAAGACTTTGGAGACAGGACCCTAGAAACAGAACACAAAGTGATCTCTTTGGCCTCTGAGCTTCTTGCAAGCTCTTTTTTAGGTCTGGAAGATCTTGCCCATTCCTGGCCCCTCTCCCCTGGTCAGCACTTACTCCCCTCTCCTTCAAGACCCAGCCCTCCCGTCCTCAAAAACCCACCCTGACCTGAAGGTGACAAGCACCCTCTCTGGTGGTTCCCATACCCTAACCCTGAACCTGAACTCTGTGGAATTGCCTATTTCCAGGTTTTTTGTGAAGTCTGTCTTCCCATAAATGTCAATCCCTTGAGGTCAAGAACTGTCATTTATTCTTCATGTTATCACAGAAGGTAGTGTATAGTGGAAATAACTAACACTTACATAATGTTCACTTTATTCTAAGCCTCTTACATACACTAAGTCCTTAAAAAATCCTCACAACAACCCAGTGAGGCAAGTACTACTGTTATCCTCATTTTAAAGATACTGAAACTGAGGCACAAAAAGGTTGAGTAATTGGGGCACCTGTGGCTCAGTCTGTAGAATATGTGACTCTTGATCTCAGGGTCATAAGTTTGAACCCCATGTTGGGTATAGAGCTTACTAAAAAAAAAAAAAAAAAAAAAAAAGAGGTTGAGTAACTTCTCAAGGTCATATGACTGGTAAGTGGTAGAGCCAGACAGCGTAGCCCTGGAACCCATGACCATGACCACTACACTACTCTGCCTCTCGCAAACACAGTAGATGATCGATAAACATTGGTTGCATTAAACAACCAAATCATTCTATAAGTCAGCCTGACCACAGTGTAGAATCCCCAGTGATGTATGAGACCCTATTCTAATTCAAAAGGGTATTTCTGCCTATGATTAAGAACACAAACTAGAGCCAGATAAACCTGGGTTCAGATCCCTGCTCTGCTGTTTATTACTGTGTGACCCGGGTTGTTAATAGTTTTCTCATGTGTGAAATGGGGATACTAAGAGGACAGTTGAGAGAATTAAATGAACTAACACAGGTAATATTCTTAGAAAGTGAAGGTGGGAACGAGCAAGAGATGGAAGACTCAGCTCCTGCACATGGGGGGTTTAGTTGCTGCTGGGAATAAATTAATTAGAAAGTAAGGCAGAATCAAATAATGCTGGAGGAGGGCTGGAGGAGAGCTTGCTGGGGCAGGGGTTATTCATTGGGTCCTAGTGAGAGAGAGGAGGCTTTCAAAATAAGATTGCAAATGGACTGGCATTGTAGAATAAGTTTGACTTCAATGGGTAGAGAATGGTAAACACTGTAAATGGGGAGTAAAAGTCTGAAAGAGTAAACTGCATTTGGAGTTGAAAAGTGGCTCGGAGTGAATGAGCACAAGGTAGACAGACCATGAACCATGCTTGAACACCAAGATCCTGGTTGGTGTTTTGTTTTATTTTGTTTGTTCGTTTTACCTCTGTACCCCTGACACCAGTTCCTGACAACATTGTGATAATAATGACAGCTACCAGGTATTTAGGGTGCCTGCCTCATCTCAGTTAAAGTAGAGTTTATTATCCCCATCTTATGAAAGCAGAATGGCACTCAAAGAAGATCATTTACATGGCCGAGGTCATACAGTTTGCAAGGGGCAGAATTCAAACACGGTTCTCTCTGACTTCAAAGTCTATACACTTTCCACATATTTGCTAATCAATGAATGAGTCCAACATTCAGGCCCAAGGAGGCCTGATCTGAGATGATGTTTGGAAGTGAGAATGACTGATAGCTGGGTTCTATCTTTTACATTTCAATATGTTGGCTTGAAGTTTTTATTCCAGTTTAAGCTATCATCTACACTACAATATGAAAGCAAGATCTGAGTATCGTTTGTTGCTGGGGACTAGAAGAGAGAGCAGGGGACTCTGGGGAAACTGGGGTAGGGGCATACAGTGATGTCCTGGAACAGGCTCCTACTGGCTCTTGAGAACAAATGATAAACATCTCCCAACTCCACGTCTAGGGTCATCATGTTAATAGTTTGAAATCAGCTGTGGTGGGAGAATTTATACCACCGAAATTGGCAAACATTACAAATCAGGGTTTATTTTCCTCTGGAATTGAGTTGTTAAACATTTACCAGCACACCACTGCCTGTGACCTAAACTACAAGTTATCTGCCTGCCAAACACCTAACATACAATGCTGACACAGGGACAAGATAACCATAATAAATACTCCTGTTCAATATGGGAGACAGAGGAATGGGGAGACACAGTATAGTCACTGATCCATGAAAGTTCTGATATCCAGCCAGGCACAAATCTTAGTCTATCCCAAATCCAGATTCCCTTGGTTAGGCCTTGGGTTTGCTCCTTGGTAGGATTCTCCTCTCCTCTTAAGGAGAGCCCATCAGTGCTCTCCTTGGCTTCTAGACCTACTGTCTCAGCTCTTGGATCTACCCTCTGAGATGTCTTTCCTTTTAAGTAGGAAATGACCTGTGTCTGCGGCTGAATAGTTTTCTCAGCCAGCTTCCTGCCCAAAGAAGTTGGGGGCCCAGAGACATCTTTTCATTTTGAATCATCTCTGTCCCTTTTAGTCCAAACTGGTGCTGCTTTCACTACTAAAATGATCTGTAAAACCCTGGGAGCCTTCTAAATAATGAATTATAGTCTACTCCATTAGACAAAAGACAGTCAACTTTATCAAGACAGACCCCTCCTCAGGTTACAAGGTGGGGCATTGTAGGTCAAAAGATTCTTTGAAGCCCTTTTGTCTAGTTGAGAGGGTCTACAGAACATCATCTTAAATTTTAACAAAGGTGTTATATCTTAACATAGGCAGTTACAGCTGACCCTTTTCTAAACGTTTTGATCTTCACTTGGAGACCATGTTTTACTGGCAATGCCCTGGATTTGATTTTTACCGATACCATTTCTTACTTTGAGAACCGTTTGCCAGACAGAGAGGTGAGGAATGGAAAAATATCTTATTGTTCAATCTAGCAAGTCCTGTTGGAAATGTTCCCTCTAAGTTCTGCTTAAAAATTGAACAGTTCCTTTTTTAGTTCATGTCACTCCTGAAATGCCTTCTCATAGGCAGCTAAAATAAACCAATTGGCACTTCCAGCATTCTGCCTGGAAATATCTTTAGCTAAATTCACAACTTTGTTAGATACCATTTCTAGCTTCCAAGTTACCACAGATGATAGCCAATACATAACACAGGTTCCCCTTTCTCCAGATTCCAATGCAATGTCCTCACTGTTCTTCCTACCTTTGCTAACAGTCTCCTCCCTGTCCTTCCAATGTGTGCCTGCCACGCAGTCCCAAAGCCAACGCTACATATTCTAGGTCCTTTTTATGGAGCACCCAACTTCTGTAACAAATGTCTGTTTCAGTCATCTATTAATATAACTAATCATCCCAAATATAGAGGCTTAAACCAAAAAATTCAATATTGCTGACGATTGTGTGGTTTGACTGGGCTTATCTGGACAGTTCTTCCTCTCCATCTGAGGAGTAGCTATGGTCACTGAAGCAAATGCATTCAGTCAGGAGCTCAGATGGGAGAGGAACATCTAAGATGGTGTCTGATCCTCAAAGTCTTATATCATTCAGTAGTTAGCCCAAGTTTCTTTGAAGCCTGGCAGCTGACTTCCAAAAGGGCAAAGCATCTTAGTAAGTGTAAGTACTTACTAAGTTTCTGCTTGAACTGTGCTTGCCTTTGTCTCATTGACCAAATCAAGTCACACAGCCATGCCCAGACTTAATGTGGAAGGGAACTACACAAAGCCATGAATATTGGGAGGTGTTGTTCATTGGGGGCCAACAATGTAATAGCCTGCTGTAGCCACTGCTGGTTACGTGTCTGCCTGCTTTAACTAAGGTAAATTAAGAGATTCTAACAGGAGGGTGCTTAGTGACATAGCAAGATTAGTTGAGCCAATCAAGACTCTTCATCTAAGATTTGGGAATTGGGACACTAGAAGGTCATGTCTCTTAGCTAAGAGGAGCTGAGTAAAAGATTCAATAGACTCAGGAGCTGGGGCCACCACGTTAGAACCTGAGGAAACTGACAAAGTAGCAGAAGAAGTAGATCCACAGAGAGAGAAAGAGGAATGGAGTAGACTTACTTGAAGAGATGGAAATGAGAGATATCATATTGGCTTTGAGAGCTATCAAGAACAACCTTATTCCTGACTTTCCAATTCACATGAAGCCTACTTGAACTTTATTTTCATTTAACAATTGCTTATTGAATGCCTATTATGTACTATGTATTAGACAGAATGGTGAACCATACAGGCACAATCTCCACCTTCATGGAGTTTACATTCTAGGTGGTGGGGCAGGGAGGAGGAGAGAAGGGGAGGAGAAGTACGTAGTAAACAAATTAACAAAAAAAAAAATGACTACAGAGAGTGGTAGTAGCTATAAAGACAGTTAAGCAGGGTGATGTATTAGAGAAATGGTGATAGAGTTGAAGGCTGCTTTAGATAGGTTAGTCAGAAAAGCCTCTGAGAAGGAGACATTTGAGCTGAATGCCAAATAGAAGCCAGACATTCAGAGATCTTGGAAAGACATTTCAGACAGAGGAAACAGCAAGTGCTGAGATCATGAGGTGAAACCATGTTTGGTAGTTCAAAGAACAGAAAAGTGACAGTATAGGTAGAATATAGTGATTAAATGGAAGAATGCCTAATCTTACAAGTTTTCTGTATTAAGAGGTTTAGATTTTATTCAAATAGCAGTGGGAAGCCTTTAAAGGATCCTTATGCTGAGGAGATCATCAGATTTATGTAATAAAATTCACTCTGCTGATATACGGGAAATGGTACGGGGACAAGAGTGGACCATCTGGGAAGCTATTGCCATAATTCAAGAAAAAGATGATTGTGGGTTGAACTAATATGTAGTAGAAGAGATGGGGATAAGTGAAATTATATTATGAATTGGACATGGAGTTGTCAGATCGTGCAGGTAATTTTAAAGTAGGGGATGAGAGCAATCAAGGTTTTGCCTTAAGCAATACATTTATAGGGAATAAGATTGGAGAAGCAATAGGTTTGGGTTGGGGGGATAAATTTAGAGTTTATCTTTGAACATGAAAAGTTTGAGATATCATTGGATATCCAAATAGAATATGAGGTATACAAGCCTGAGGATCAGGGAAAGGTCAGGGCCAGGGATATATATTTGGGAGTCATCAGCATACAGATGAAATAGAAAGCCATGGGAATTGATGAGATCATTCTGGGAAAGAATATAGATAAAAAAGAGAAGAGAGCTCAGGACCTTCAACATTGAGAGGTCAAGGAGAGGAAGAGGAGCTGTCAGTAAGAGACCAAGATAGAGTGGCCAGAGTCACAAAAAACAAGAGAAGGAAATATTTCAAGAAGGAGGGAATGATTAAGTGTGTCAAACACTGCTTAAAGGTCAGGTAAGATGAATATAAAGGGATGAAACCATTGGATTTGTCAGTGTGGAAAGTGTTGGTGATCCTGAAAAGAGCAGTTTCAGTGGAGTAGAGGGAATAGGAACCCAATTAAGGTGTTTCAGTAGGTCAGGCAAGGGATGAAGAGAGAAAATTGGACAAGAGTAACAGTGATAGGAAGAAATACCTAGAATCATTGTAGTGAGGGACTGGGTATGGGAGTGAGAGGGTGCTCATATGGTTTCTAGAGGTTGTAAGGAGGGGAGTGGTGCCACCAAATCTAAGAACAGAAAGAGGGGTATATAGGAAGGAAAAGAATGAGGTCCATTTGGGAAAAACATTATTTTAATGTGCTGCCAGGACATTCGTGTGGCAAAATTAAGCAGTTAGAAGTTTAAATCTGAAGCTTGTTGATTCCCCATTTTTTTTTGAGAGAGAGAGACAGAGACAGAGAAAGAGACAGAGAGAGAATGAGCAGGGGAGGGGCATAGAAAGAGGGGGGCAGAGGATCCAAAGCAGGCTCCACACTGACAGCAGAGAGCCTGATGCAGGGCTGAAACCCATGAACCATTAGATCATGACCTGAGCGAAAGTTGGACACTCAACTGACTAAAGCATCCAGGCACCCTGTTGATTCCCAGTTTCATATGTCCAGTCCAGAGGTGCGAAATAGTCTAGACTATACTTCCAGATATGAGAATCACCAGCATAAAAGTGGTGTTGGCTTACCATGAATGTGGGTAAGAACTCCTTTCAGTGTAGAGTAAAAGTAAATGAAGGTCAAAGACAAACTATGGAGAACTCTTGCATTGAACAGATGGTCAGAGAAAGAAAAGCCAGCAAAGAAAATCAAATCAAGGAAGAATCATAAGAGTTGTGTCATAGAAGCCAAGAGAGAAAAAATGTTCAAGAAAGAAGGGGTGGTCAACAATGCCAAGTGCTGCAGGGAGTTCGAGTATGCTGACAGTAAAGAGGTAGAATTGACACTCAGAAGACCACAGTGACTGGGGGTTCTTGTGTCCACAGGCCTTTCCAACATCAACCAGACTCGTCTTGATTTCCACTTCTCCTCTGATAGAACTGCTAGTGGCATGCAGATCCAGCAGGCCAGCCTCATGTTCTTTGTACAGCTCCCTCCCAATACCACCACCTTGCCTTTGAGGCTGAAGATCCTTGTGCTAGGCTCACATGACACCAACCTCACCTGGGCCACTCAGCAGCTGCTGGAGGTGGATGCCAGTGGCTGGCACCAGCTCTTCCTGGGGCCTGAAGCTCAGGCTGCCTTCAGCCAGGGGCACTTGACCCTGGAGCTAGTACTTGAAGGCCAAGGAGCCCAGAGCTCAATCATACTGGGTGGGGCTGCCCATAGGCCTTTTGTGGCAGCCAAGGTGAAAGTTGGGGGCAAACACCAGCTTCACCGGCGAGGCATCGACTGCCAGGGTGGGTCAAGGATGTGCTGCCGACGAGAGTTCTTTGTGGACTTCCGTGAGATTGGCTGGCACGACTGGATCATCCAGCCTGAGGGCTATGCAATGAACTTCTGCACAGGGCAGTGCCCACTACATGTGGCAGGCATGCCTGGCATTGCTGCCTCCTTCCACACTGCAGTGCTCAATCTTCTCAAGGCCAATACAGCTGCAGGCACTGCTGGAGGGGGCTCATGCTGTGTGCCCACGGCCCGGCGCCCCCTGTCTCTGCTCTACTATGACAGGGACAGCAACATTGTCAAGACTGACATACCTGACATGGTGGTAGAGGCCTGTGGGTGCAGTTAGTCCATGTGTCGTATGGACAGCCCAAGGTGGGGTAGGCAAACATGCCCTCACAGAAGTACCCTTCCTTATTAGGAAGGGATGACCCCATTACTGTCTCTGTCCAGAACGAGGGCTCCCTCTTCCTGAGCAACCTATGGAAATTATGCCAACTGTGACTTGAGGAGATCTTCATCCAAAGAGTCACTGTACCATCATCATGACCACCAGTCCCTCTCTTCAGGCTTAGTCTATCCAGGAAGCCCCACAGGCTCAACTGTCACCCCAAAGACTCTGATCCACCTGCAACCATGGGCAGTGCCATCTAGTTCCTAGGCAAAGATACCCGTAGCCCATCCCATAATCCACTATACTTTCCCACTCTTCCCACTTGATGGCTGTTACTCCAGGATGAGTTGACCCAGCCTCTTCCCCGATTTTCTGGATTACAAGAGAGCCCCTTCCTTGGATTCACTGGAGATTAAATCACTGTTTTCCAAAGTGAGGTTTACTCTTTGTATCTTGAGTATTTGCCTTGGTGGGCTGTTAACGCTCTCTTGCCACGTCCTTACCCATTCTTTGCCCTGTTCTATGACCTTAGGGGCTGACTCATCTGAGTTCCTTTGGCCTCAGGCTTCCTGCTGAATTTGACTAAGGGGAGACACAGGCAGGAGATCAGAGGATAGAAGGAGACAGAGGTCAGGGTATTTCTTATTCCTGTTCCCTCTTTCCGGTTGCCATGAAAATATATGACTGTGGCTGTGGCCTGTCCCTACAACTCCTATCTGGCTCTCCACTGGCTCCAGCTCTGCCTAGGTTCTGATATCACTGCTTCTGCACTAGGGGGTTGTAACAGCTTTCCACTCTTGCTAGTCCTTAAGAGCTTCAACATCCCTCCTTGACTCTATAAGTAAGTTCTTTATTAAGTCTCCTTAGGAATGCAAACACAGACAACTGAATGGTCCTTTTGTCTCCTGCTGGGACCCTGGCTGACACCAAGGATGACACAGAGTTTACCTGTCTTGTCCACCTCTACTCTGTCTCACACAGGCTCCTCAGGGCTGAGCTGTTGTGTCTATCCCATACTTCATGCCTCTTCCTTCCCTAGGCTTCCTCCTCTTTTTTCTTAGGCCCCCTCCTCCCCCGTCCCAGAACCATCTTTGCTGGCCTCAGTGCTAATAAAGACTTAGGTTTTACCTGCTCTTCTCCTCCCTCTAGCCTCACTCCACCAGATGAGACAGATCACTGCTCAGCCAGCAACCGGGCTGACAACCTGTGAGCAGTTGTGTGGTGGGAGGCAAAGGCACAGCCCAGAGCTGCCGGCCTTCCCTCACTGACCCCAAGGGCTCTGTCCAGGAGACGTGCCTAGAAGCTGGAACTGGCCGAGGGCCACTTGCATGAGACAGGGAGAAGAAAAGGAAGGCACTGAATGAGGAGAGAGAAGTGTTTGCTCTGAGATGGGATCTTCTCTAGACCTTTGCCCTTCTTTCCCCATCATCCCCTCCCTTTGGTTGGACAGCCCTAAACCATGGGGTCGATATTGTCTGCAGCCCAAGGCCGAGTTTGCGCAAAACCCATGTGTCCTTTGGGTAATGTGATGTCTGTGTTTGCTCAGCTTATAACCCCTCCTCCCAGGGTCTGAGGTCCCTGCAATAGGAGCCTTGAAGAGACAGTCTGAAAGGGACCTCCTTGGGGACTGCAAATCTGAGCTTTGGGGCTTCCTGAGCAACCCACGGAAGCTATGCCACCTTTGCCTTGAGGAGATCTCATCTAAGGAGAACATCTAAGGAAGTCTTCTGTGCCTCTTCCTCCCCCTACCACAGCATCTCCCCTCCCGACAAGCCACTGCGATCTAACCTCTCTCCCTCCATCTACAGCTTCAGTCTCCAGGGCCAAGACTGAGGTGACGTGAAATAAGGCACTCACATGGGGGGCAAAATTGTAAGGGGGTGCCAAGAAATTCATCAGTTAAGATAAGTAATATCTTAATGCAATATTTTTAAAACATCAAAGCGAATGCTAAAAAATCCATGATGAACAAAATAACAACTTTTAAAATAAACATGGAATCAGTATTACTCTCTTTCTTTTTTGCTCTGCCTTTTGTAAAAGGAGGAAAGGGTGGGTCTGTCTTCTTCCAAACCTTTTCTTCCAGAGCCTCTTGGCCCCTAACTCTAGACTGAGTTGGGGTTTTTCTCACTGGGGCAAGATAATCACTCTGGCTTCTCCTTTCTTACCCACCCCCAAGCCTGTCCCTCCCCCTCCCCAGCACCCAACCAGGTTGGTGGTAGGGCGGGCCTGCGAGGCAGATGGCTGGGGTATTTATAACCTGGGAGCACTTCTTGGGGAAAGTGACTAAGATGCTAAGAGCATATTTATAGCTGGGTTCTGACGTAAGTGTCAGTGGGGAGGTAGGGCCAGGCCAGGCACAGCAGCAAGACAGTAGGAAGAGCTGAAAATTGGGGGCACCTGGTAGAGAGGGTCAGGGCAAAGTAGGGTCAGCTATTCCTGCAGCCACTCTGTACTGCGTCCCTTGACTCTGTCTCCTGGCACCCACAGGTAAGCCCTCTGAGACACCAACCGTGGGCAGAATCTTCTTTGCACCTCCATGTTCCAGACCTTGGGGTAGAGGACTGTCACTCATCAGCCTCAACCAACAGAGAGGTTGCTGGGAGCTGGGGAGAGAACTGGACAGAGGGGTTTGAATATATTTTGACCCGGGGAGACATGTAGGGAGGAGAGGAGGGTCTAAGAGTCTCATCTCATTGTCCCTTCATCCCCCTCCCCACCACATAATGCCCTGAGTTTCTAGGAAGAGCCTAGCACCCATCACCAAGCTCCACTGCCACGTGTCAATATGACGAGGTCTAAAACCAAAGGTAGCAGTGACATGGGGCCTGACAACAGCTTCTGCTCTCTGGCAGTGGAGAAAGGGGAGAGCACAGGACCAGCTTCTCTGTCTGCTGTAGGAGAGACAGAGTCCCCAGAATGAGGGGCTGGGAAGCGATCTGCATCTCCCCACTTCTCAGAGCAGCCTATTCCCTGGGAAGCCCGTCAATGCTAAGCCAGCTGTGGTCCAGTGGCACTACACTGCCACATGGTGGACACCGGTGGTACTGAGGCCCAGCCCCCAAAGCACCACTTTTCTTCCCACGGTGTCAGCTCTAGTAGTCCCTTGACAGCCCCCACCGGCTAAATAGAGGGGAGATTAATAAAATGGAGTAGGGACACATTTCCAAATCACACTACTTTCCTAGCTTCTTGAAGAAACAGGGACATAAAGAGAAAGGCTAGCACAAAGTCAACCCTCATAAGTTCAAGGTGGCGGGGCCATGGCCCTTCCACTTAGTCAGTGAGGAAGTGTGGTAAGGAGGGTTGGGATTGGAACTGAGGTTGCTGCACTCATCTTGCTTTGCTCTGAAAAGTCCTTAAACCTCCCATTTCCTGTCCCCATTCACAGAGGCCTGGCACCACTTCCAGGATGCCCTAAATTTAGGCAACTCTCACCGTTCCCTTAAAGAGAACCAGCAGCTGGGTATGGGCCCTCCCAAGTCCCATGCCCTTCTGCCAGCTTTGGTGGACTCTGCCCTGCTCTAAGATTGCATCACCACCACCCCTACCTCTCTGGGTTCCTCAGACAGCACAGCAACGTGCCACCCCCACCCCCCGCCATGCTCCAGCCCTCCTCCACGTTGTGCTCCAGTCCAACTGGACTCTGGGCGGCCAGCATAGGCAGGGTCAAGAGGCAACTTACGTGCCCCGTGGCACTGCCACCTTGGCCTGGGCAGGAGGACTCCGTTCCTCTCCCACCCACAACCTCTCCCTGCTCCCAGCCCCATTGCTAGAAATAGAGATCAGAGCTCTCCTTCTGGCCCAGAGACCCTGGAGAAATAACCATTGGAACTCACAGCTGCCCCATGAAAACCACCGTGGCACAGGTGGCCAGGCAAGCTAGAAAGACTGGAGGTATGTGGAAAATGGCCCTCCCCACCTTGCTCATATGCAGTCCCTCCCCCGAGCCCCAGACCTTGGGGACTGAGCATGTGAAATCATTCTCTTTCTTGCATCATGCGTGTCCACATTGCCCACCCCCCACCCCCATACCCCACCTCAAACTCAGTGACCAGGGCCAGATGGTGAAACCTGAGCTGGGGCGGGGGGAACCTCCACACACCCCCCTTCAGGGACCTGATGGGCAGCACAGCTGGCCAATCCTGGGGCTCAGAGGGTAGGTCTGCTGGCTGCCCACTAAGTGAGGGAGCCCCAGGTTGCAGCTCTAAAGAGGCCCCAGTCAGTAACCAGCCACAGGCCATGAGGGTCAAACGGGCAGACTGCGCTAAACTCAGCTACCCATAGGACCATCTACATGCTGTCCTCCTGAGTCCCAGGAAGAAGACAGGTGGCTGTACCCTTGGCCAAGGGTAGGTGTGGCACTGCTGTCCGCTGCTGCTGTGCCCTTGTTGGCTTCCACGCAGTTGGATCAACAGAAGGAGCACTGCCATCCAAGGCTCCCAACCCAACCCAGGGCCACTCACCAGGAGCATGGGGCTCCCCGAAGTCCAGCGCCAGCTGGTGCTGCTGTGGGCCCTGGTGTGGGCACAGGGGGCAGGGTCTGCCTGTCCCTCCTGCGGAGGCCCCACACTGGCACCCCAAGCAGAACGAGCTCTGGTCCTGGAGCTAGCCAAGCAGCAGATCTTGGAGGGGCTACACCTGACCAGTCGTCCCAGAATAACTCACCCTCCACCCCAGGCAGCGCTGACCAGAGCCCTCCAGAGACTACAGCCGGGAAGTGTGGCTCCAGCGAATGGGGAGGAGGTCATCAGCTTTGCTACCATCACAGGTGGGTGGGGGAGAGAGAGGCAGAGAGCAGACCGGGAGAGGAAGGCGGCAGGGGAGACTGACAGAGAAGGCAGAAGGCGCAGGGTGTGGGAGGAGAAGTTGGGGCAGGGACTGTGTTGCAGAGGACAGGGGACACAAGGCAGTCCCGGTTTCCTCTAAAAGTGGGTGCTAGGGAGAGCCGTGGGCAGGGCTTGTGGGGGTCTCAGAGGAGAGCTTTGTCTCTGCTCACATTCCTTGGTCCCTTCTCCATCTCTCTGGCAGAGTCTTCCGCTTCAGCCTGCAGCTCCACACTTACCTTCCACCTGCCCACAGCTCGGTCCCAGCGCCTGTACCACGCCCGCCTCTGGCTGCACGTGCTCCCCACCTTTCCCGGGACTCTTTACTTGAGGACCTTCAGGTGGAACCCAGGGAGGCGGCGCCGCGGGGGGTCGCGCACCCTCCTGGCCCAGCACCAGACGACAACCCCAGGCTGGCACGCTCTGACTCTGCCCTCTAGTGGCTTGAGGGGGGAGGAGTCCGCTGTCCTGAATCTCCAGCTGGACTGCAGACTCCTAGGAGGCAACACCACTGCCGTCCCACAGTGGCTCCTGGACACAGCGGGAGAGGAGCGGCCCTTCCTGGAATTGAAGGTCCGGCCCAGTGGGCCTGGAGCAGGCCGTGCCAGGAGGAGGACCCCCACCTGTGAGCCCGAGACCCCCTTATGTTGCAGGCGAGACCATTATGTAGACTTCCAGGAACTGGGATGGCAGGACTGGATCCTGCAGCCAGAGGGGTACCAGCTAAATTACTGCAGTGGACAGTGCCCCCCTCACCTGGCAGGCAGCCCCGGCATTGCTGCCTCCTTCCATTCTGCTGTCTTCAGCCTCCTCAAGGCCAACAACCCTTGGCCCTTGGGTACTTCCTGCTGCGTCCCTACTGCCCGAAGACCCCTCTCTCTCCTCTACCTTGACCGTGACGGCAATGTGGTCAAGACAGATGTGCCAGATATGGTGGTGGAGGCCTGTGGCTGCAGCTAGCAAGAGGACCTGGGGGGGTGGAGTAAAGAGATCAGTTGGGGGTTCCCAGGCAAAGGGCATCTGTGGCTGGAGACACTAGATTCCTGATCCACAGCCCCACCCAACGGGTGGGGTGGCGGTATGACTGGGTTGCCCCCTAGGGGACCCAAGGGGGCACTTGCTCGTCCAGACTCTTGCCTATTCCAGGCTGGTTGATGTGTGGGGAGATGGGAAAAATGAGTTCTCTAAAAGAGTCTGCCCAGAAAGCATGGTTGCCTACCCTAACCCCTATGAAGAAATAGTAGACATGAGGGAGGGATGGAGGGAGGGAAGGAGAAGGCAGAGAAAAATTACTTCGTCTTTCTCAAGAAGAGAAAGTCCTCAAGTGAAGGAAGGAAGAAGCAGACCAAGGTCCCAGCAGGCTTGGGACTGGGGAAATAGACTTACCAAGGGTAGGGACTATGGAAGAGCTCTAAGGGAGGGTCAAGAAAGAGATGGGCAAGGGGCTAAGACGAGGTGTTTGGGAGAGCCCCGGAATTGGGAGTCAGGAGAGAGGGGTGCTGAGCCCTAGAAGTTCCCTGGGTTTTTTTTCCCCATGGGGGACAGGACACACTGGGGAGACAAATGTTTACACTTTCCTAATAAAAATGAGGGGGAAACCCAACAAGCATGAGTCATAAAGAAGGGCTGGGGTGATAGTCTAAAGGGTTAGGTTTTCAAGGTACAGTCTGGGGACCCCCGAAAGGTCCTTGAGACCCTTTCAGGAGTGTTCACAAGGTCAAAACTATTTTCATAATAATACTGATGTTATTTGCCTTTTTTATTTTCATTATCTCAAAAGTATACAGTGGAGTTTTCCAGAGGCTACGTGGCATGTGATTACATCATCTTTCTGACATCATTGTTAATAGGATATGTGCTTGTGTACTTTTGTGTTACAAACTTTTTTTTCAGTTTAATTTCTAATATAGTACATTGATATGAACCACATAAACAAAAATGCAATAAATGTTAAGAGTGTAAAGGGGGGTTGTCTGGCTCTCTCAGTGGGTAGAGCATGTGACTCTTAATCTCTAGGTCATGAATTCAAGCCCTACATGGGGCATGGAGCCTACTTTAAAAAAAAAAAAAGAGTGTATAGAGGTCTTGAAATCAAAATGTTTGAGAATCACTGAGCTAGAGACCTGGGTGAGGAGGAAAAAAAAGTGGTGGGCTCAAAAAAGTTTCCCTGAGAGGCGTCTGGGTAACTCAGTTGGTTGAGCATCTGACTTCAGCTCAGGTCATGATCTCGCAGTTCATGGGTTCAAGCCCCGCATCGGGCTCTGTGCTGACAGCTCAGAGCCTGGAGCTTGGATCCTGCTTCGGATTCTGTGTCTCCCTCTTTCTCTGCTCTTCCCCAGCTTCCACTCTGTCTCTGTCTCTCTCTCTCAGAAATAAATAAACATTAAAAAAAAAAAACACTTAAAAAAAAATGTTCCCTGAAAGAAAAGGCACATGGCTGGGACAGGAACATGTGTAGAGTGACCGATGGTCTTACCTTCTCCAGTGACCATTGGTCTTGCTTGCCCCCTGGGTGTAACTGATGTCTGGGCCAAATTCATATGGGGGAGGGAGGGTCCCACAGGACTCCTTCTATGTTCCACCACAGCTCCTACCTATATTTGTAGGGCCTCGGGCCTCTCCCTAGTTTCACCTTCTCCCCTTGACCCTCATTCTGAACAGTTAACCTACTAAGTCTCCAGGCCCAAGGAGGTGGTTCTTGGAAGCAGAGCTGGGATGTGGGAGGTCTGTCTGAGGGGTGACAGGAAAGGAAGAGACTCCTTTTCCTCACCATGTTTTCTCCCCTTTCTCATAAAGAAAGGTCAGAGAGACTAAAATAGCTGCCCCTTCCCCTGCATCCAGTCACCATGGCAACGCAAATCTAAAGGGACAGGGCACTCCCCTATCAGACACTACCGTTCTGTACAAGCAGCCTCTTCTAGTGTGCCTTTCCATTTCTTTGGGCTCATACAATCCCCTCCCTGGGCTCCTAACATAGGGCTTTGCTGGCAGGACTTGTCAAGCCTCCTTCTTCAGCTGCCCCAGTCTACTCTGATTCCAGACTCGAGAGTGTCATGCGCCAGAAGGGCCAGCAGAGGGAGCAGACAGCCTGGAAGCGCCGAAAGCCAACCGCACAGAGGTGCGGAGGTGCCCGCAGTCTCCAGAACTTCGAGAAGTAGGAGAGCGGGGGGCTCTCCGCGGAACGGTGCTTCCATCCCAGGTTCCTTAGAAACCTTGTGAACCGCATAGTCTGCACCCAGGTCCTCAGCCACTGCTTCTCTTGTTTATGCTCTATAGACCCCTCAATAACAAGCCAACGCTGTTTCAGTCCTGTTTGCACCAAACCCCAAATCTGTCCTAACCCCTTCACGTTCCATTGAAAGAGGCCGGCAGATGAAATACAGGATGGCATAATGCTCATTAGCACCGACCAAAGTCGACGACACTACCTCCGATATTATCTTTCTCGGACGGACTTTTTCGTCGCCTCCGCCCCCCCCCCTCCCCCTGCCATTCCCTAATATACTTCTCAGTTTTTTCAGGCTCTGGTTGGGGGCCTCTTCGTGGGCAGCCGATCCAAGAATCCATGCCGGGATTTATTGCCCACCACCAGCAGCGTGTTCAGCGCGGGGGGGGGGTAGGCAGTATAGGGTCCCTCAAGGGAGGGGGAGGATCCTGGGGGTCCTGGGGGTGCAATAAGCCCGGCACCCCCTCTCTTGCTTTTAGTTACCCCGCCTCATCTCCCAGAACTGCTAGAGGGAGGGAAGTAGAAGGGAGGTGAGAGGCGAGCGGGAAGAGCGGCGGCGCGCCAGCTGCTTGAGCGAGAAAAAGTTTTTGCAAAAGGGAAAAAAAAAGTTTGCGCTTCTCGCGGGTGGTCCCGGCTCGCGGCCCGGCGGGCTGGGCCGGCGGGAGGGCTGGCGGCCAGGTTAGGGGGGGTGGGGGTGGCACTGAGGCTGCGCTGCCGTGGCCCTGTCCGCCCCCCCTCCCCACCGCACACCCCCCAGCCCAGACTCTAGCCCTGGACCGCGCATCCCGAGCCCAGCGCCCAGAAGGAGGTGAGAAGGGGGGCAGGCGGGGGACCACCTGGGAGCAGTGGGGGAGGGGGCCCGAGGGGATGCCCTGCTTGCGAGGGACTCTGCCCAGCCAAGAGGGAGACATGGGGCACAGAGGCAAAACGGGGGTGGAAGAGCCTGGGGTGAGAAATAGAAAGTTTGAAGAATTTTTTCATTTGTATCTCCCTTTCTCTGTATCTTTTTTTTTCTTCTGACAGTCTCTGGGTCTCTGTCTCAGGCCACCGTGGATCTCTTTGTCTGTCTCCGCCTCTCCCACATATTAGAAACATCTCACTTTCATGAGGTTGGGATGAAGAGGCTGGAGGGACGGCTAGCTGGAGGTCTGCGTGGTAGACAGGGAACTCCAGGTGTGTCCCGAGCGCCGGCAGCAGGACGTCAGTGTTTCTGAAAGGAGGGAACAGCTAAGGAGAGAGCCCTAGGTGGGGTGGGGATGGGTGTGTGTGAGGCGACAAAACCAATGGGGGACGGCTAGGCTTGAACCCTGACCTGTCTTGTGACAGATGTGCTTGCTGGTGCATGTGTTATGGGGGAAAGGAGTGTCTTCTGGACTATGAAGGGGGCTGTAGGGGCCAGTGTCTAGTTTAGGCCCTAGAAAGACTCCCCAAGGAATTCCGACTCCTGAGTCCCAAGGGCTGTGGTCGGGGTGCTAAGGAGGAGTGGAGGAGACCTTGTCTTGACCCTCTGACCTCAGGACCACCGGGACAGCTGGGGCCAGGCGCAGGGAGACCCCTACTGGGACTGGGCGGGACCACTGGCCACTGCCTGCCTATGTATCCCCGTTGGACACCCCCCTCCCCAACGGGAGCTGGGGGCCCGAGGCCCCTCCTCTTGCTCAGACCACCCTGCCTGCCCTTGCTCCCCGCTCTGAAGCCTCTTTCAGGCCCGGTGACCCCGAAACAATCCGCCCTGGGCAGCTAGCTTTGGGGACAGGATTAGGGAAAGGGGATCCCATAGTGACTGGGGACTTAAGGTTTTGGGGGCTGGAGAACTGGGGTCTTCATAAGACAGGTCTTTACCGTCCGGTGGAAGGAGAAGGCGGGGCAATTTCCCGGGGGAGTTGTAAAGGGCCGGAATTAGGGTGGTTTTCCCTATGGGGGCGGGGCCCAGAGACACCCCCCCTCCCCAATTAGCTCCCCGGCTTCCCCAGCCGGGCGGTACAGACCCCGCCCTTGACGTCACTCAGGGGTTCCCGGGGGTCTGGAGGGGTTAACCCTTGGGAAGCCAGCTGTGATAATCAGGAACCCAAGGTGTCCTGACCCCTACCTTTCTCCATACACACCTTATTTTATTTACCCAGTCACTTTCTGTCCCTATAATTTCTGGATTCTTCTTTCTTTTCCACCCACTGGGACACCCACCCTCCAACAGTGCCCCCCACCCTGGGCGCCACTACCAGCTTTCTGGATGCACTAAGGGGAGGAGGGAAGAATGTGTCCCGCCTCTCAGCTCCCCCCGCCCTCCCTCCACCGCGGCTCGCTCGACTGGGCTCCCGGGGCGGGCGGGGGAAGCGGAGCTGTCTGCAGCCAGAGCCTGCGGCGGCGACTTGGGTGGGCCGAGGAGGCACGGGGGCGGGGAAGGCGGGACCGGGAGAAGGGGGGCGGGGCCTGCTCCTGGGACTTGGGGAGCGGGGGTGCGGGGGGGACCCTGGAAAATAGGGAGACACAGAAGATGATTCAGGGCTCCAGCAGGGGAACCCTAGAGTTCCCTGCCCCATCCTGCGCTTTCATCCACACCCCAGAAAAAACTTAACTGAAGCTGGAAAAGTTGGCGAAATTTTCCTGTCACTAGTTGAAGGGGAGACGTGGGTGGGCTGCGGCGTGCGTGGGCGAGGAGGGATGTCGCCCCATTTACATCACGACTCCCCTGCGGCTGGGCAGTGGCACTGAAAGGTGACTGAGTAGGCACGTT